GCAAGAGGAAGACCAAGGACCGGGTAGGCCTGTTACTCAATGATGGGGGGAAAACAATAACAGAAAATGTGGAAATGGCAGAGGTGCTTAAAGACTTGCTTGTTTTGGTTTTCACCAAGAAGGTTGTTGGTGATTGGACGTCTAACATATCATAAGTGTATTAGCAGGAATGTTGTAAGCAAGACACGAGAAGTAATTTTTCTGCTCTACTCTATGCTGATTAGGCCTGAACTGGAGTACTTTGTCCAGTTCTGGGCGCCACATTTCAGGAAAGATGTGGAGAAAGTCCTGAGAAGAGCAACAAAAATTATTAAAGGTCTAGAAAATATGACCTAAGAGGGAAGATTGATCAAACTGGGTTTTTTTAGTCTGGAGAAGAGAAGACTGAGAGGGGACATAAGTTTTCAAGTACATAAAAGTTGTTACAAGGAGGAGGGAGAAAATTGTGCTTCTTAACCTCTGAGGATAGGAAAAGAAGCAATGGGCTTAAATTGCAGCAAGGGAGGTTTAGGTTGGACATTAGGAAAAACTTTTCAACTGTCACTGTAGTTAAGCACTGGAATGAATTGCCTAGGGAGGTTGTGGAATCTCCATCATTGGAGATTTTTTAAGAGCAGGTTACACAAACTCTTGACATGGATGATCCAGATAATACTTAGGCCTGCCACAAGTGCAGAGGACTGGACTAGATGGCCTCTCGACGTCCCTTCCAGTCCTATGATTCTGTGATCCCCTAACCCCCTAGAGCCCAGCTGTGCCCCCCCCACCGCAGCCCAGACACTCATGCCCCCCCCCAGAGCCCAGTCATGGGGCTATCCCCATCCCAGACATTCACACCTCCTACCCTCATAGAGCCCAGGGATCCAGAGGGAGAAACAGCCTAGTGCTGGGTCCCAGGCTTGCACAGAGTTTCCTGCGCATTGCCTCCTCCTTCCTTCAGGGCATGCTGGGAACTGCAGCTGCTGGGAACCCTCCAGTTTCTTCCCGCTCCCCTCAGCCTTGTCTTCTATTTGCGAGTTGGGCTCTGTTGGGTCCAGCAGCCCCTAGTGGCAGCCACCATCTGTGCAGCCCATTTCTGTGGGGCACAAAGGAAATTCTGCATCCCCAGCATTAATTTCTGCAAAATTCTGCATTGTGCTGTGGCACAGAATTCCCCCAGGAGTAGTTAGACAAAACAGTGGGTGGAAAGACATAAAACACAAAAGCAGAGTGATCAATGCAGTGTCAGCAAACAGCATGTTAGTTCCATATGTTTTATTTTATTTGAGTGGGTTTAGTTAGGAGGGAATGAGTTAAAACTGAAGGAAGAGGGAACTCTAAAGATAAAGGAGCTGAGGGGGGCAGAGAAAGGGAGAAGAGGGTAAGAAAGGAAGGTATGGAGTGAAGTTGAAGTGAATAGACCGTGAGGGCTGAAGGATTGGAGAAAACAGTGGGCAGAGAAAGTCTACTCCGAACTGTAGAAAAGTCTGTCCCTACTTTAGCTGTTCCTGCCAGCTGGAGTCTCTTGCTGGCTCCTTCCTGAAGTTATTCCCACACACACACATGAGTCCTAGTGCCCCCACAGGAGTTCATCCTCTTAACATGGTGGAGATTCCACAACCTCCCTAGGCAATTCATTCTAGTGCTTAACTACCCTGACAGTTGAAAAGTTTTTCCTAATGTCCAACCTAAACCTCCCTTCCTGCAATTTAAGCCCATGTTCTGGTGTTGGAGAGGGGAGGGAGCCTCAAATATATCCCATTTTACCTCCCTTGCCTCTCAAAGCAGCAGTCCCTGCTTTGGCTGTTCCTGGCGTCTCTGGCCTCTGGCTGACTTCTCCTTGAAGCTTCTGTTTGTTTATTTTACAAACCCCACTTTCCACCCTGTTGTATGCTGCTCCTTCCCCTGGGTGAGTTACTCAGAGGTCAAGTTTTCCTCTGTATAACAGTCCTGGGGACATCCTCTTTTGCAAAGGGCTACAGGTCAGTAGTGGGGAATAGTCGACCTACAGTAAGTGGGCTCCAGTTAGCCTGGCAGGTGTAGGCATTGTCAGCCCACATTGGTTAGCCCAGGCATTTTCTGCCAGCTTCTCTATTCCTCCGGATAGCAGGTGAGGTGTTCCTACCAAAGAGGCCTGCAGCCAGTTACCTCAGGATCAGAAGGGGTTTCCAGCAATCTTGCTGACCAGACACAGATGTTAAGTAACAGCCCACTGACACTTGGTATCCAATAACTGAAATATTAAGGGGAAAACAATCCCTTTCTGTTTTGTTGTTTTGCTGTTCTGAGCAGGAGGTCTAGTGAAGCCTTCCTGCACCTGCTTGAGGCAGACTGAACTGGCAAAGGCTTCAAGGATGTGGCCATTCCCAGCCTGCTATGATTGACACATTTGGTAGCTGTCTCCAAGGAGCTGCAAGCTTGTGTAAGATGCATTGTAATGGATCTGTGGACTTCCCCTGTGAAGAAGAATTGATTTCCTTTGCACAAAACTACTGAAGTAATATTGAGTGGTTTGAGAGACTATATGGGATCAATGTTCTGTACCATGAGTACCTTTGTTTGAGGGAAGTGTGCCACTACCTAATTTTGACTGAAAAAAATGTGTGTGTTTTTACAATAGTGGATGTTTAATGGCAAGGTACCCTTTATCTTCTACAGGATTTCAGACAGAGACTACAAAATAAGTAAATAACAAAGATGGCATCTCCTGTAGAAAATTGCACCTCAATGTTTTGGCAGGCTGTCCCCAAATGCCTTTAAATATGGCATTACACTGATAAACTGTTTCAATTATGCATAGTTAATTACTTCAGCCTTATTTAACTATACATTCTTTATAGAAATTTAAAATGGAGATAGTTGTTCATATCCAACTATAAAACTCAGTTTGTTTTTTAAAGACAGTATGCCTAAAAGTATATCCAGATACTGGGACATGTTTATTCTAGAGAACTCTCTTGAGGAACAGGTTATGCGTGACTAAGCTCAGGATAAATTCCAAGTTTATAATATAGTTTATATTATATTTATATGATCTACATCAAAATCTGCTTTAACATTATTTCCAGTTATCCTTACACTACATACACAGCCAATACAATGCTGAAAAACAAACTGCATACTTGGAATATTAAGGGATTTAAGAGAAGCAGTATGGCTCAGTACTCAAGAGACCTGGGTCCTATTCCCAGCTCTGTTACTGGCCTGCTGCATGTCCTTGGCAAGGCACTCCACTTCCCTATCAAGGACACATGAAATTAAAAATTGGGTAAATCAGGTGCTGGCAGAACCACATGTAACTTGAAGGAAGGATACTTGTCATAATAAACAAGACCTTTTAATGGGGAACTGTCAATGTTTGTACAAAGGCAATGTTCATAGGTGAAGTACAAGGCCAGCTAATTACTCCGTGTGACGGGGTGCGACCCACCACTGCGGCACCTCCTGCTGGCTGTCTTGGGAATTAGCTCTGCATCCTCTTCTGGTGGTGTCTCACCCACCATCACCTCAGCTCCTGGACCTGTGTCACCCCAAGGACTGTGGTGTCCTCTTCAGGACACAGCAGTCCGGCTGTGTCACACTCGGTTCTCCCCCTTCCGGGGGAACTGCAGTCAACTGTCCAGCCAATTCCTTCAGTGGCAGCCACAGCCAATTGTCTGGCTACTTCCTCAGTGGCGAGGAAGAGGGGGGACCTGGGCCCAACCACTACTCTGGGTCCCAGCCCTGGGACCCTGTAGATGGCAGGCACGTGCTGGGTCCCCTCCAACATCTCTGTACCTTTCCCTAGGCCACTTCCCCATTGCCCCTGGCACCTTCTTTGACCTTACCTCAGGGCTTCAGCCTGCCTGTTTTAGCAGCTAGCCAGGAGCTCTCTCTAGCTTCCCTGGTCCCTGCTGGCAGCACTCCTCTGTCCAGGGTGTTGGCACTCCTTCCAGGAGGCAGATCTTCCCTCCTCATGCTCCAGGCAGCTACTGAACTCTGCTCTGCCCTGCAGCCCTTCTTATATGAGCCTGCCAGGCCATAATTGGCTACTCCTCTCAGCCCCTTTCTAATTGGCTGCTTTTAACCCCTTTTCTGCCAGTGACAGGCAGCTACCCCATCACATTCTGCATTAATACATGTCCCTAGTTCCCATGATGAAGGCTTCACAAATATAGTAAATATAGGTAGGAGCCATATTATATGTGCTGGAGATTTAGCTATCATTTAGACAATGCAATGAACAGAATCCCATTCAAATAAAGCAAAAGATTTGGAATGGAAAGATCTCTGGAAACATTTGCATCTATTATAAGAGATACACATTTCACTACCACATGTCAAATACTGATGAAAAGTATTTAATTCTCTCCACCCATCTGTGGGTGTTTTTCAAAATGTAATTCAGCTACAGATAGGAAGTACCATGATTTCAGATCACAATTCAATACCTACAGACGTATCGTGGCATACTTTCTGTGCATGAAACACATGCATTGCATGCCTGAAAATTCACAAAAAAATATTTTATTCTGCAAGAATAAGAAAGCCCTGCATGTAATGAATCTGTTCACATAAGATGTCTTCTTGTTTTGCTGGCAAGGCATGCAATGCTTCAAGTTGTATCACATTGCCTAGGCAACATGACTCTGCAGGCAGCTGATTTCCTGACTGGCTGTGCATTGGAAAAAGTAGCTAAGGCATACAAATGAAGAACTGAATCATCTGTGCTAGAACAGAGCCAACGGCATGACCTCTTCATCAGGATGGAAAGTTTAGTGCAAATTTGGTCACTAAATCATTTAGTGCAAGAGATTATTCAACAATAAAAAATAAGAAATAAAAGGCCAAAACCAAAATTGGAATTAGAGAGTACCTACTGAAAAGCAGAAAAAGAATTGAAATGGTATTTCAGTGAAGCACTGTGGTGTACAAATGTGAATGGAACTGTGGGTGTGCGGAAACAAACAAGCTATACTGTTGGCCCTGTCTACTTTTTATTCAATGAAAAGAAGATGTAGAATAAGGCAAGATACAATGACCTAAACAAACTATACAATGTCCGCAGACATCCTGAAACTAGCTGGCAAAACCTAGCAGTCTGTATACAGTTATGAACATTTGGACAAGTTCCCACTGATCTTCAGTTAGATGAGCAAGGCATAATTGCTGTGAGACAACACAATGAAAAAGTTTGTCAGAATTGGGCTACTTTGCAAAGATTAATTCTTGTTGTATGTCATCTTGGAGAACAAGAGCTGGGCATAACTTCCTGAATCAGGGCAATTATGGAGAAACCTTAGAATTAGTGAGTTCAATGCTTTATTCAAGCAGCATCTGTAAATTTCTAATGCTTTTTCTGCAACATCGAACAGAATTCAGAATGACCTCGTCGAAGCAGTAAGTAATGCCCAACTTAATGCCATTGCCAAATAAATTGAGAAAGTACCATTTGTTGCTATTTTACTTGATAAAACTTCAGCTATTGCCAATAAATCTTAGCTTTCGACTGTACTGCATTAAGTGACCAAGAATGGCGATGCTATAGAATGCTTTGTTGGTTTTACTGAAGTTAGTAACAATTTAACTACAGCTGACCTTTGCCAGCATGCTGAAATGGTATGACAGAAGTTTAAATCCGGTGATAAATTAGTAGCTCAGACATATGATGGTACAGCAATAATGGCAGGTGATGTAAGTAGGCTTCAGAAATGTGTTTGTGAAAAGTTCCCTTGTGCAATTTTTGTTCATTGCTGTGCTCATATTTTAAATCTTGTCCTCTGTTTTGAATTGTTAAGCAGAACAGAAAAGCTCTGATCAAACTTTTCAAAAGTGTTGCACAAAACCCAGCAGACTGGAATGCTGTCTTTTTCCTCAGCCAAGAGTTTTCTGACCATCCTTGATGATTTTCAGTTTTTGTTTCTCCTTTGCCTCTGCAACAGAATCCTTGAAGTGACAAAAGTGGTGTTTGACATTCTTCAGAGCACGATGTATGATACTGGATTTTGTATTCAGCAGATTTGTGAGACATTAGAGAAAATTCACCAAAAGCGACAAACTTTTGATGAGTTTTGGGAAGAGGTGTCAGAGCTAGGTACATATGAATCTTGGGAAAAAGAGCAAGGGAAGGCCAAGCAACATATATGTGTCTCTTCTTTGAGGTTATTGACAATATCAGTGAATAGCTATCAGTACGATTTGGGAGTGGAGAGAAATTTTAATTTGTCCATATGCTGAATCTAAAAAGATTCAAGGAGCTCCAGACATATTTTCAGGTTGATGTTCTTGAATCTCTGATAGGATCTTATCTGAATATTTTTTTACATTAGCTGTTTGTGTCCCAAACTGTGTGAGTTCTGTACAACTCAGAACAGCTGCAAGGGAAAGGTTAATTTGAACATAAATGAAACTATTTATATGCTGGATTTACATACTTGCTTCTCTAAGGTCAACAAGTTGGCTGCGTTAATTCTGACTATTCTGTACTCTTCAGCCACAGTGGCAAGGTCTTTATCAACTTTAATGCACATTAAGATATTCACATGAAACACCCAGGGAGGTGAACACCTGTCCAACTTGACTTTACTGAATATCAAAAAGAAACTGATTAGGTATCTGCTTAGCTTATCAGATTTTTATGACTTGGTCACCAAGGAGTTTCTCAAAAAAGATAGATGAATGGATTTTCAATTTCAGTAGAAAGATTAGGTAATCACATATTTGTATATTCTCAGCTATCACTATATTTGACTATTAGTATTTGCCAAAATGAATGCATTAAGTTTATTAACTGCTATGTGTATATTAGAAAAACATCTTTTTAATCTGTCATCTTAAAAGTTTTTGCATGACTTACAAAAAAAATATCACAGCACACCATTGGGAGATATAGACAGAAATTCAGATCTTCAAACTAGCCAATGGATATTTGATAATGTGCTTTGCCATCATAAAAGAATGTAACTATTAAAAAGGAAACAGTAAATGTATATTTAGAAATGAAATACAGCAATTCAATCCCCCCACTCACTGCTTTGGAAGACAATGAAACTAGTCCTTTGGGAATATGTAGTTTCCTATTCAGCTTAGCATGAGAAAAAGAAAAGATCAAAACAAACCGATTTAGATATTTTGAACACATGGAGAAACAGAAAATGTTATTTTTTTAAAAATTAAGCAAAATATTTTGAGTGGGGAAATAAACTGGGAAAAATGTTGGCTAAATTTATTTAAAGAGATCTAAATCTACAACATATATTAAAAGCTTAAAGATATCCATGACAGTCAATTAATTATGAAATATATAGGCATAGAAGAAAAATTCCAACCATATTATGAAGAACCTTTTACTAGTGAAAATAGATTAAAGTGACCCACAAACTGATTAGTCAATCACCCAAATTACCTAAAGTTACAAATAAATGAGGTTTTTTAAGGAAATTCTATTAGAAAGGTATAGAACATGAAATAGAAAAGTTATTAAATAATGAACGGAGGAAAGACCCCTAGATCAGATGGCCCAACCAAGAAGTTATGTAGGAGCTCCAAGAAAGGAACTCATTTATTAAATGTTATTTTTTTTAAATTACCTCTTTTCTTAAAATGAGTGTAAAGTGATAAGTACACCAAATCTAAAGAAATATTCACAATTATGTTCTTTATCAGTAGCAATTGTCACAGGGAGATTAACTACTTTAAAGGAAATGAACCCCTTTGACAGAGTAGGGCCTCCCAGCTGGGCTTGATGATGGACACCTGATGCTAATGAAAGGAAAGAAAAGAAGCTACTAGGTGGGGGGAATGGAGAAGGGAAATCTCTTTGCAGGCCCTTGCTCTGGGAGCAGAGAGGCACAAACAGGAGTACAGGATGGGCTGGAGAAGAAGACGGCAGGAAGACTGTAGACTCCTGAACGGGCCCCTGGGTCTAAGGATGAAATGTGAATGGAAGCGACTTGATATAATTGGGAGAAGACCCAACTATAAATGAGAGAAGCAGCCTGTAGACCAAGAGAGTCTTAGCCAATTGATTATAGCTAAGGCTAAGATTTTGTCATGGTTATTTTTAGTAAATGTCACGGACAGGTCACAGGCAATAAAACAAAATTCACGGAAGCCATGACCTGTCTGTGACTTTTGCTGCTGCGGCTCCATGGTTCCTTTGCCTCCATGGTGACTGGGAGCTGTAGGGTCATCCTCTTCCTCCCCCCTCCCCCCGCAAGGCTGTCCCCAGTCGCTGGAACCCTGAGGAGCACCCCCCTGAGGAGGCTGTTGCCTGTCGCTGGAAACCTTCAGGGGGACCCTGAGGAGGCTGTGAAGTGTTGCTGAAAACCTGCAGGGGGACCCTGAGGAGGCTGTCGCCTGTCACTGGAATACTGCTGGGGCCCCACTGGCTGCCAGCTCCAATCCCGCAGACCCAGGGGATGAAGCAGAAAATGTCATGGAGGTCTCTGGAAGTCACAGCTTCGGTGACTTCCGTGACCTCCGTGACATAAACGTAGCTTTAATTATAGCACAAGCCTTGAATGAAGAAGGGAACTTTGGGGTGAAAAGCAGGTAAAGGACTAACTGATGTAGCTGAACTTGCTTTGTTTTACCATTGGACAATAAAGTGACAGCCTGAGGAAAAGTCATCCAGCAGAACTATAAGCTGTGGTGTCTGTTCTACTGGGTTGGGAGGCAGGATGGACTGGTAACAAGAGGGGGAACTGAGATCCAGAACATTTGCAGTGTTGTGACAGGCCAAGAGGAGACATTCTGTGATAGCGAACCTGTGACAGCAAACTTTTTAATAATGCAGAATCAAAAATACTGTGAGTTTGACCAGAGGATTAAAAAGTATATTATCTACTGTAATGAACAAAGATCAGGTTGGAAGATTTGATTCTATTAAACAATCTCTAATAAAAATAGATTTGTATTATAGTCTTGATAGCTGTAGAAAAAAGCATTTGATTGTGTAGAGTGGCATATTTCATCATATGCACAGCAGTATTTTCAAGGGATTATGTGATGTCAGTAAGGAGAAGTCACTATTTCCTATACACAAATCAAACACCCCACACTAGTTTGATGTTGAAGTAGACAGACAACAGTACAGAAGTCACCATGCCTCCACAAGAGGTAATAAATTACTCATCTATGGCACCTGTAATTTCCCCAAATACAGCCAATCATTATAGTAACCTGTTGTCAATTATTACTATGAGGAACATCACAGGAATAACAATGAAAATAGAAATCCTATTCCACACAAATCTGAGTATGTCTGGCTACATAATAATCACAGTTCACTAATCTGCTCTAGTAATGGTGTCTATATAAAACTTACAGTCCTTGGTTTGGGGTCTTGCTAGATGGACTGTTCTAGCAAAAACCAGAAAAGTACTTATGCAGTGCTAGCCAAAAGCCTCTGCCATATTTTGGCTGTAGAGTCCACCAAGGAAACAACCAAAATGACAATCATGACCTACTATCTGTTACTTCCGGCATTTGTTTGGTTGTCATTTTTTTCTTTTCTCCAAACCCATCAGCCCTTGTGCAAGTCATCACTGCTCAGGAATCATATAGGTGTGCTGAGCACACAATAATGTAAGTGTGGTAGCATATTTATGTGCAAATGCCCTGTGAAAAGTGCTCATTGTTTTCTTCCACAAGTCATAATTGGAAAGTGTGTAAAACAAGCTCCCTCTTAAATTTGCTCCCTGACCAGAGACCACTAATGAGATGGAGTGATGCAAGGTCATAGTGCTCTTAGTTTCTCTTGCACAATGGCCGTCTTCCTACTAATATGGAATAAAATGTGCAATGAACATGATAATATATCACTGCCTCTGAAATTATTATGATATTTATATTCTTCTTTGAGTAATTGTTCCTATAGATGTTCCAGGTGTGTGAACACTCCTTGCTCCTCTGATTGGAGATTCTTGGTAGCAGTGTGCACATGGTCTGCACCTGGGCTCTGAATACACTCATGTCCAACTTGAGGGCAAATAATTCAGGGTGAAGCCACTGTCACTCCAATTTCTTCTCAAGCACTTGAAGCCTGAGATAGAACCTGGGGTGTTTGCTTAGTGCTTTCCCAAGTTTTAGCTAAGCTACTTCCTTGTCCTATATCATATTTTTAATTTTAGGCTTTCTTGATTTACTCACCTTTGCACATAATTCTGTGTATTTTGGGGGCGCTCCCCATACCCTCCGATCCTTCCGCAGTCAGGGCTCACTACCACCCCCTACGGTTTTTAGTTTTTTTGTACAGTATGCCCAAACCCCCAAGTTTTAAACCCTGGCATACCTTCACAGGATCTGTTTCAGTGATGGTCATTCCAGATGTCTCCACTGTCTGGAGGGGACACATATCCTGTCAAATACAAGATCTGCATGAGATTCAGAAGCAGAGGAAAATGAGGGAAGATAAGGGTAAGTTTCTCCTGATGGTTTGTTTGATGAGTCCTTTCTTTGACTCAGGGCTTGACTACCTGTCCTGTACAATAGGGTCAGTCAGCCAGTCATCTTCAACTTCCACTGTGGCTCTAGCTCCAACAGGTAAAAACCACAGGGCAGCTCCAGAGACTAGCTTAAGACCTCAAAAAAGAAGAGACCTAGGCCTCCAGTTAGGGAGGTGTCACCGTGCCTCTGGGTCACAGCTCAGGATACCAGATTCAGGACAAACTCCTGCGAAATAGGGTTTCTCGCTCCAAACTGGTGGTTATTCTCTTATTAGATATACCAAGCCAGAAACAAAAATAAACTTCTGTCTCATCATACTGGTTAACAAGAAGTCCAAACTGCAGTCTCCTTAGGCATCCCAGCCCTTGTTTCACCACCCAGACACTAGACTTTATGGTGAGTGGTTATTTAAAACCAGTTTAATCAAAGAAAATGTCCTTCTAATCCCAAGAGATCAGCCACATAGCAAGCTCAATATATTACTCAGGTATTAACCAATAATCACACTGTTGCCAATCCTTTAGAATATAATATCTAAAGATTTATTTATAAGAGGAAAAGAGAGAGTTAAAATGGCCAAAGAAATCATATTCTGATGTGAGGTAGATACAACCCATCAAGGGGTGTCTGGTCACATACAGTCAGCAGGGAGCTTATGCCCCACCTGCTCAAGTCTGTGATGGCCTAACCCACAAATGAGAGAATGTGACCTATTGGTCAGAGTCCTTGGGCTACCCTTCTTCTCAGGGCAGAGTGACCTGGTATAGAATCATAGAATCATAGAATATAAGGGTTGGAAGGGACCCCAGAAGGTCATCTAGTCCAACCCCCTGCTCAAAGCAGGACCAATTCCCAGTTAAATCATCCCAGCCAGGGCTTTGTCAAGCCTGACCTTAAAAACCTCTAAGGAAGGAGATTCTACCACCTCCCTAGGTAACGCATTCCAGTGTTTCACCACCCTCTTAGTGAAAAAGTTTTTCCTAATATCCAATCTAAACCTCCCCCACTGCAGCTTGAGACCATTACTCCTCGTTCTGTCATCTGCTACCATTGAGAACAGTCTAGAGCCATCCTCTTTGGAACCCCCTTTCAGGTAGTTGAAAGCAGCTATCAAATCCCCCTCATTCTTCTCTTCTGCAGGCTAAACAATCCCAGCTCCCTCAGCCTCTCCTCATAACTCATGTGTTCCAGACCCCTAATCATTTTTGTTGCCCTTCGCTGGACTCTCTCCAATTTATCCACATCCTTCTTGTAGTGTGGGGCCCAAAACTGGACACAGTACTCCAGATGAGGCCTCACCAATGTCGAATAGAGGGGAACGATCACGTCCCTCGATCTGCTCGCTATGCCCCTACTTATACATCCCAAAATGCCATTGGCCTTCTTGGCAACAAGGGCACACTGCTGACTCATATCCAGCTTCTCGTCCACTGTCACCCCTAGGTCCTTTTCCACAGAACTGCTGCCTAGCCATTCGGTCCCTAGTCTGTAGCTGTGCATTGGGTTCTTCCGTCCTAAGTGCAGGACCCTGCACTTATCCTTATTGAACCTCATCAGATTTCTTTTGGCCCAATCCTCCAATTTGTCTAGGTCCTTCTGTATCCTATCCCTCCCCTCCAGCGTATCTACCACTCCTCCCAGTTTAGTATCATCCGCAAATTTGCTGAGAGTGCAATCCACACCATCCTCCAGATCATTTATGAAGATATTGAACAAAACCAGCCCCAGGACCGACCCTTGGGGCACTCCACTTGATACCAGCTGCCAACTAGACATGGAGCCATTGATAACTACCCGTTGAGCCCGACAATCTAGCCAGCTTTCTACCCACCTTATAGTGCATTCTTCCAGCCCATACTTCCTTAACTTGCTGACAAGAATACTGTGGGAGACCGTGTCAAAAGCTTTGCTAAAGTCAAGAAACAATACATCCACTGCTTTCCCTTCATCCACAGAACCAGTAATCTCATCATAAAAGGCGATTAGATTAGTCAGGCATGACCTTCCCTTGGTGAATCCATGCTGGCTGTTCCTGATCACTTTCCTCTCATGCAAGTGCTTCAGGATTGATTCTTTGAGGACCTGCTCCATGATTTTTCCAGGGACTGAGGTGAGGCTGACTGGCCTGTAGTTCCCAGGATCCTCCTTCTTCCCTTTTTTAAAGATTGGCACTACATTAGCCTTTTTCCAGTCATCCGGGACTTCCCCCGTTCGCCACGAGTTTTCAAAGATAATGGCCAATGGCTCTGCAATCACAGCCGCCAATTCCTTCAGCACTCTCGGATGCAACTCATCCGGCCCCATGGACTTGTGCACGTCCAGCTTTTCTAAATAGTCCCTAACCACCTCTATCTCCACAGAGGGCTGGCCATCTCTTCCCCATTTTGCGATGCCCAGCGCAGCAGTCTGGGAGCTGACCTTGTTAGTGAAAACAGAGGCAAAAAAAGCATTGAGTACATTAGCTTTTTCCACATCCTCTGTCACTAGGTTGCCTCCCTCATTCAGTAAGGGGCCCACACTTTCCTTGGCTTTCTTCTTGTTGCCAACATACCTGAAGAAACCCTTCTTGTTACTCTTGACATCTCTGGCTAGCTGCAGCTCTAGGTGCGATTTGGCCCTCCTGATATCATTCCTACATGCCCGAGCAATATTTTTATACTCTTCCCTGGTCATATGTCCAACCTTCCACTTCTTGTAAGCCTCTTTTTTATGTTTAAGATCCGCTAGGATTTCACCATTAAGCCAAGCTGGTAGTCAGGATAGATTAGGCCACCACCCGGGGTCTCAGGACCTCAAACAGGGTAGAGCAACAAACAAACAGTCGGGCGGATGGTGGGAAGCTCAGGGCCTCAGGCAGGGTGGAGGAGCAAACAAACAGTCTGAGTAATCTAGCATTCTGACTCTGGTACACTGTAGACAACCACAAGCTTCTAGGCCTATGTGGGGGAGCTGCCACCCTGGTTTGGGGATTGGCAGCAGGGGATAGGGGGACCTACCCAGGGCCCTAGCAGTGGTGTCCCACCACTGGGTCAGCAGGGATCCCACCAAAACAGGCTGATGGGTCTCCCGGTCCTACAACTGGACCAGTACCTATTTCCCCTGGGCCACTTCCTACTCGGTCTCCCAGTACAGTAGTCCATGGGTCTTCTGGGCCTCTGGGTTTGTCTGCTGGTGAGATCTGCAGTGACTCAGTCCCTTCCCAGGTCTCTGCTGGCCATCTGGTGTCCACCTGGGGTTTGGCATGCTTGGCCTCTGTGAACTGGGGGCTCCGCAGCTCTGTGGAGGGGGCTCGCAATACGCTTCCACCCTCTTCGGTGGTCCACCCACCTGAGCTGGTCTGCTTCCCTTTATACCCTATCTCCAGGCTGAGCATGCCCAGCAGAGATGGAGGGGCATGGCTTCCCCAGCCTGCAGTGCACACTTAACCCTTGAGGGGCCAATGCAGTGTTGATACACCCTATCACATATACATACAATCATTTCAAAGTTCTTGGATCAGGTTTGTAGCAGTTATGGAATAAACTGCTGGCTTGTAAAGTCTCTGGTAACTTCCAAAAGACTGGAAGGTCCTCACTCCGTTGGTTTGAATGCCCCCTTCAGTGTAAGTCCCTAGTCCAGAGATCAGAGCAGGAAAGAAGCAAAATGGAGATGCTTCCAGGGTCTTTTATACCTTTTCCCGTGTGGAGGGACTACTCTCAGTCCTAGTTTGTGGAAAATTACATGCACAAGATTGAGTCCAGGGTCACATGAGTAAGTCACATGTCCTCGCATGCTTTGATGACTCATAGGAGCAGCCATTACCCATATTTTGGCTAAATTTCTTCTATGGCCTATTGTTGCAGTTAAGTGTTCTTTGATGGGCCATCAACTTGAATGGTCCATTCACAATGTGCTGGGCAGAGTGGATGTAAATTGCCTTGTGGGTGTTACCCCAGGAGCAAACACATTTGAAATACTGGTACATAGTGAATATTCATCACTTTAGATACAAAGATGATACATGCATACAAATATGATAATCATATTCACACATCATAACGTTTCCATTCACACCTTACATTTCATACTTTGCATAAGATTTATTGCAGTTGTCTAACAGTGGCAATATTAATATATAAATGGTCATGTTTCAATCATATAGTGTCGCAGGAGGTACTGAAGGGGAAAATCACCTCAGATGTCTCCCACCAAGGAGACCTCACTTTTTGGAGTGGGTACAGTCGAGACTTTTAGACCCACCAGTACTGAGTTTCCTGTGCTGACCAAGAAAACGTATTATGCTTCCTGCACTACAAAATCTCTTGACATGCATCCCCATCCAGCACCAATGGCAGCACCCTGTTTAAAACCAGCCAGTCACTACCATCTCAAAGAGGACAGTGCCAGCATCAGATCCCCTGGTACCCACTCCACCAGCAGAACACAAGCATAGGGGACAATGTTCCCTCTAATTTTTCCCACGCATATGCAGAATGAATTTTGCTGTGTGCACCAATAATGAGGTAATGTGTGGTGGAGGTGGTGATGAGGGGTTCGGAGTATGGGGGGGGCTCAGGGCTGGGGCAAAGGGTTGGGGTGCAGCAGAGGGTCAGGGCTCCAGCTGAGGATGAGGGCTCTGGGGTGGGTCTGGGAATGAGGGGTTCAGGGTGCAGGAGGGGGCTCTGGGCTGGAGCAGAGGGTTGGGGTGCAGGGGGATGAGGGCTCCAGCTGGGGGTGCGGGCTCTGGGTGGGGCCAGGGATGAGGAGTTTGAGGTTCAGGCTGCCCCGGGTCCAACGCGGGGAGAGCGGGTTCCCCGCAGCCCTCTCTCCTGCAGCATCACCTGGGTTGGAGGGAGAGGCGCCTCTCCCTGCTGTGGCAGCTCTGGGGCTGGGGCCAGGGGAGAGGCGCCTCTCACCAGCCGCAGCAGTTCCAGGGCAGGGGGAGAGCATCTCTCCCCAGCCGCAGCAGATCCAGGGCTGGGGCTGGGAAG